ACCTTTTACCGAACACAGCGGGGAAATAGTTTAACTATTGGAATGGAAGACGGTTATTAATTACCTGATAATTATGTTCATAAACGGCTTCATTATTTTACAATCCTATGATTAACTCACGATTTAACGACCGTGGTGTTAATGCAACCGGTGCTGATGCCGGTTATGGGTTTGCTGATAAGAATTACAACATCTCTTGGATTTTGCAAATAGCAAATAAGAAGTATCCTGAATTCGAAAGTCAGAGTTTAGCAGAACATATGTATTTCTTACGAAGAATGTTAAATTATATGAACGCAGACCAAGACGCTTGTAGCAGTACTTATGAACAATACGCAACAAATCAGTTTATTTTTGGTAAAACATTTGAAAAACTGAATGAAGCTATTATGACAGGCATAAATACCAAGGCAGTTTGATGACTGCAAAAATTGAACCTTACAAGACATTAACAGAGAACGAAATGATGCAAGAAATATTCGTGCATATGTTGAGTGAAAGTGTTTTGGAAATCCGCAGTGATGCAATTGTAGTTTATGACTAAAAATAGTATTTATTAACCCAAATTACTATAAATATTTAGAGACAAAATAATTATATTAATTAATGGGCGAAGTTAGTAAGAAAGATTTTCGTAATGGCAGAGTTTATTGTATTAGAAACCATATTAGCGATGATATATATGTCGGCAGTAGTTGCCAACCATTAGGCAAAAGAATGCAGAAACATAGGTCAAGTATGGACCGCAAACGCGATGGTAATATGCTTCTTCATCAAAAAATGAGAGAACTTGGAAAACAACACTTCTTCATTGAATTATACCAAGAATACCCCTGTGAGAATATAGTTAAGAAAACGCGAAGGTGAAGTGATAAGGGAATTAAAACCAACATTACATAAACGAGTTGAAAATAGAACAACGAAGGAATATGGGGAAGACAATAAAGAAAAACTGCAAGAGTGGAACAAACAACATAGAGAAGAGCATATAGAAGAACTGAAAGACAAACATAAAAAAAAACCGTGAAGAAAATAGAGAAGTCATAACTGAGAAGAAGAAAGAACATTATGAAAATAACAAAGAGCATTACAAACAGTATAGAGAAGAGAATAAGGACAAAATTAAAGCCAACTGGGCGAAATATGATGAAGAGAAGAAAGAAAAACTAAAAGAAAAAAACAGATAATACGGCAACAATAACAAGGAAAAAAGAAGTGTGAATTCTGAAAAAACGCAGACAACAAGGAACAAATAACTGGCAAAAAAGCAAGAATATCAATTAGCAAAAAGTATTCGTGAATGTGACATGGAAATCTTAAGACAATCTAAACCGAAACATTTAGATTCAAAAAAACATCAAAACTACGAGCAATCACTTAACCAAAATAATAATGATTAACATTATTATATATTTTCTAATATGATAATATTAATGAGTAATATCCAAGCAATTACATTAGATGGTTCAAGGGTCGTATATGCTACTGAGTTTATCCAAATTTGCGAAAATGGCTTATCATCAATACAACAAGACTATGCTACAATAAATTATGTAGATAATGAAATATCAAATATTAATGTTGGTTCAGGTGGGGGAATAACACAAGCAGAGTTAGATACACAATTAGCACCAATCATCGCCGAAAATTGCGGTCAACATTTAGTAATCACTGGTATTTACAGTAATTTAAGTAATGATTTTCAGACAACAACACAATTAAATTTTTAAATTTTTATAAGAAGACTGAAGTTGATAGTGCCATTGCTGTTGTTGATACAAAAGCGTTAAACAGTTTTAATTCTATCAATGCTATTAATACAAATTGAACTAATAATTATAGAAACAATACACAGTTAATTAATGGCTATTACACGAGGGCACAAATTGATGCTAATATTTGGAGTGATAATACAGCATTAGCACCTTATGCTTTAACTTCTACATTCACAAATGATTATTTAACTTCGGCAGAAATTGCTGGAGCATATCACAATAAAAGCGAGATTGATGCCAATAATTGGATAGATCATACCGCTTTAGCACCTTATTCAACAACTGCAACACTAACAACAAACTACCAAACTAATAGCCAATTAGCGACCAACTATTACAATAAAGGCGAGGTGGATGGATTAATAGCCGGAGCAGGTGGTGGCGTTTCTAATCCTATTGAATTAGTAGATGCTAATACAAGTATTGGAAGATATACAAATGCTACAAAATCAAATATTTCATTAGATTTATCAATACGTGAAACAGCAAGTGCCATAAGATTAATTAACAGAACTAATGACGACACCGACACAAACACTTATATAGAATGTAATAACACAACAAACGGAACAGCATGTTTTAAACAATTTTTTTTGTTAATGGTGCAATTTGTCTTAATAATGATACTATGTTTTTACCAATTTCAACTAATGGTATTTCATTATGGAGAGTGTCTAATAATACAAATCCAACATTAAGAATTAGAGACGGGACGGCATAATGGATATATGTCAATAATAATTTAAAAGGCACCAATGCTAATACAGAAGACGGTAATATTATCATTTTAAATGATAACTCAGCAGTTAATAATTCTAATAGAAAGAGGTTAGGAAGCATAACCAGCGCCGAAGTAGGAATAGGTACAGTAAAGCACACGAAAGCGGACATTTTTTATCGGTAGGAGGAGCTACAAAAGTTGATAGTTTAGAAGTTGATGATAATATTATAATGAACGGAGATACAGTAACAGCAACTAATGGTAATGGTATTGAAGTATTCAAAAATACAACAGACGCATCGCCAGTTTTACAAGTTAAGAACGCGCAAGGATATATTAAATTGCATTCATTTAATATTAATGCTTATAATACTTCAAATGGTAGTCAATCGTTATCATTATTGAATACAGCAACAGCAGGAGGAGCGGTATATTGTATTAATTTAGGAATTGGAGCAATAGCAGGAGGAGCAACAAGATTAAATGTAGCAGGTGGTGGCAGTGCTCTTTTTTTGTGGTAATTGTGTATTTAATGGAACTGATAATACATTTCAAAATAATATTTTAATCAGTAGTAGAGGTAGAATATATCAACAATCAAATGCGAATTTTTTTCATTAAATCATATTGCAACAATAGAACAAAATTTTTGTATTCAATCAAACAGAAGTGTAGACCCATCATCATCTGATATATTTATAAATTTGAACGATACTAACGGAAGAACATTAAACAAACCTACAGTTTTTAATGATACAGTTAATGCAATAGGCAAATTAACATCAGAGGGAGATTTTGATGTAGATATTGGAGCAACAGGAACACCAGAATTTAGAGTATTAGGTAGTTCAGTTAATTTCTTTGAAAGATTTAGTACTGCACATACAACGGCAGTCGGAGCAGTAGAACAAACATTTTTACGAAATCCTGACACAGACGGAGAAACAATAACTGAAATAGGAACTAAAAACGTATTGACAGTTAATACCGGTGGTATTGATGTTATCGGTGATATTTCATATACAGGTGGTATTGCCCCCAGTTCTGACAAAAGATTAAAAGAGGGAATAAAAGAAATCAATTCAAAGAAAGCCGTTGAGATGATAAAGTATATTAAACCTAAAACATACAAATTTATAGATAAAGAAAATACTGCGACAGACCTTGCGTGGGTATGGTTGCCAATGATTTGTTAACTGATAAAATGCCTTCAGAATGGGGGAATGTTGTTAAAGAAGGAAGAGATGGATATTTAAAATTTGATTATAGTATGTGTGTTCCTATATTGTGGTCTGCTTTACAGACAACAATAAATGAAGTAGATAAACTGAAAAAAGAATTAAAAAAGTTGAAAGGTAAAGGGAAAGGAGATAAAAGCGATAGTAATTAAAATATAAGTTATAATATAGTATGGGAAGTAGAATTTCAACAAATAATGGGAATGATTGTACTAATCGAATAAGATATATTAATGAAAATGGTTTAGATTTAAATAATATTGATAAACTACAAATTAAAGTGTTAAAAGAAATGATAAAAGAAATAAAAGAAGTAAAACAAAAGAAGAGTGATAAAGTTATGTATCGCTTACCTGCTATAAACTTGTGCAGTTATTCGTTATTCTTAGTTAATAATATTATGAACAAAAATATTATTAATCTCTATCATCAATCATTATATATTTTTCAAATCTAACCATAAACATTTCATTTATGTCTGGTTGCATTACATTAACGAGTAAGAAGCTAAAAGGTTCTTTTGTGGCAACATTGTAAATCTCTAGTAGAAGTTGTTTTGCTTGATGAAGACTCTTCATATCAGACATTGCCTTTTTACTAATTAAAACACCTGCCAATTCATCTAAAACACTCTCAACCTCTTTATAGCTTCTTAATTTAAAAAATATCCACCGACCCCAATTAGTCCTAATCGTTGTGCTTAATCCGTTATATTTTTGTGAAGAGCAAATAATATTTACTCCGTAGTGTCGGGCTTTGATATACAGAGGATTCAAAAAAGTTGTATGTTTTGCAAATGAGGCTTGGTCTATGAAATCATCAATAAGGAAGAGCACACAAAATAATCTTGGATGTTCGTTTTTCTTCTGAAACTGATTAGTTTTATGTTGTCAGTCTGACACTTTTTGCATTTCATCAATGTTAAAAGCGCCAAAATAGACCTTCTCTTTTTCAGGATTTACATTCAAATCTTTTTCAATGTATTTCTTAACAGGTGTCCATACTGGGTCTAAGTCTATGCTGCTTGACCAAATGAAGATGCGACTAAAACATCCTTTATAAATACCAAGAATTAAATTAGAAAGAAGCACTGTTTCACCACTACCCGACTGACCTGTTATAACCATTGAAAATGGAATACGAGGGGCGACTTCATAGTTGCTTTGTTGTTGGCATTTTCGAACAGACGCAGATCTCATGCGACAGCCCTTTTGCGGATCAAAACAAGGGTGCCCCAGGAATGAACCGTGGTAGCTCAATCGCTCCATGGTAGCGGAGCTGCGGTTGGCAGCTTGCTGGGCGACACTCCTCGCGGTACTTGCGCTGATGGCTGCGCAGGGTTCTGAGCAGCCGGCAAATCCCTTTTCCCCGACGGCCAATGCGGCGGCACAGCCGGTTCAGATCGGGTCCGGGGGCTTGATCGACACGAAGGCGTACGGGAAGCTACGCACCTTTGATGGAAAGGAAGAGTCATGGCCGACCTGGGCATTTGTGGCTCGGTCGTACTTCGGGCTGCTGAGCCCGGCCTTCGAAACCTGCCTGAACACGGCGGAGAACCATCCCGGCGTCCGGGCCCTCGCCGACCTGAGCGACCAGGAGGCCATCCATGCACGTACTCTGTACCACGTGCTTGTGCAGAGTGTGGAAGGGAAAGCGCTGAGCATCCTGATGAACGTGGAGAAGCTGAACGGCCTTGAGGGCTGGCGAGCTTTGGTGGATGCGTACCAGCCAGACCTTGGAGGAAGGCACACCTCGATGCTTATGGGGATCATAAGCCCTTCCTGGGAAAAGGTGACCGAGGGCGACTTCCTGGAGAGCCTGGAGAAGTGGGAGGTCCTGATCCGCCGCTACCAGGACCAGGCCGTGGACATTGTCAGTTCGGCGACCAAGATTGCAGTGTTTATGAAGTACGCGCCGGCAGCCTTGCGAGGAGCCTTGCGGACCAATGCTTCCTTGATGGGGTCCGACTGCGACCGGGTGAAGAAGTTCATTCGGGACTGGCTGCAGAGCGGCGTGACTTACACGAGTGCTGGGGACAACGTGGCGCCAAGCACGCCCGGAGGCCTCATGCCCATGGACGTCGGTGCCATCGACTACAAGGGCAAGGGCAAGGGCAAGGGCAAAGAAGGAAAAGGAAAGGGCGGCCGCGCCAAGGAGGGGAAAGGCAAGCCCAGCGACAGCAAAGGCACGTTCCAGGGCGAGTGCGGGTTCTGCTGGAAATGGGGCCACAAGCGCAGTGAGTGCTGGCTTCGCCAGCAGAAAGGCAAGAAGGCCGGCAAAGGCAAGGACAAGGGCAAAGGCAAGACCACGGCGGCAGTGGAGCAGACCGAGAATGCGGGCACCGCGGCGGCGATTCACTACTACATGGGCGCTGGTGAGGAAGCAGGGCCCGAGCTGGAGGAGTATGAGGACGAGCTGTGGGTCATGGCGATCCAGGCGGCCGGTGGCAAGCGCGACGACGCCAGCAACGAGAATGTGTGCCCCTACGGCTTGACGGAGGACACCTATGACGAGCCGAGCACTGTCATGCTTCGGGATGTTTCCGGAGGGAGGCTGAGCACCGGGAAGCAGCGGACTTTGCGCTTTGTGGTGGAGACCTCAGAGGGACGGCAAGTGATAGTGGAAGGCGTGTTCCAAGTCAGCCGGGCATGCCTTAAGTTGGTGGTTTCGGCGGGCAAGCTCAGTCGGGCCGGCTATGGCGCGGTCCTTGGTGCCGGCGGCGGTGCCTTATGGCACCCAGGCGGAGGACACATCCCGCTGACTTTGCGGGGCAACGCCACCTACTTCAAGGCATGGTCGCTGCAGGCCGTCAGCCCCGGTGGCAGCCGAGGGCCAGGAGATTGAAGTCGACGAGGGCGGCCCCGAGCAGCCCGACCAGGCCCCGGCGGAGAACGATCCAGATCGGCGGGGACGTGAACTTCGAAAGGCGAGGCCGGTCGGCCCTAACCCCATTCTCGACGACCACGCAAATGAAAGCTCGGCTGAAGGAGCTGGGCCAGGTGAAGTACGGCACAAAGGCAGAGCTTTGGAAGAGGCTGGAGAAGGCGGAGGCAACCCACTTGCGTGAGCAAAAGAAGCTGCAGGACCGACAGCGGCGTCTTCGCGAAGGTGTGGCGGAACCAGCCAAGGCCCCGGCCGGACCTCAGGAACCCAGTGCCGAGGAGCGGGCCCAACACGAGCTAACACATTTGCCTCCGGAGCCGTGGTGCGAGCATTGCATTAAGGGCCGGGCGCTGGATGTGGCGCATCGCCTGACACCTTTGGAGCTCAGGGCACAGAGGCCGCGGGTTGAGATTGACTACTCCTTCCTGAAGACCGACGGCACCCGTGCTCCAGAGGACGAAGCGGCGGAGGTGATCCTGAGTGCTTGGGACGAGTCCACTGGAATGGCCACGGCGGCCAAGACCTACGACGTGAACCACATTTGCCGCTGGCTGGGCGAGTTCATTGCCAACTTGGGCCACGTGACGATCCGGGCGGACGGTGAGCCAGCCATCCTCAACATTGCCAGGCGCCTCGCCGACGCCCTCCGGAATGACAACATGGTGGGCGTTCGGGGAATAAGGGCCACATTGGAGACGGCGCCGAGATACTCGAGCCAGTCCATGGGTGGCGTGGGCTCCTTCCAGCACACCTTGAAGACCGATGTGCTGACTCTTCGCTACGACACCGAGGCCCGGTACAACTTTGCACTTGGGCCGGGACACAACCTTTGGCCGTGGATGGTGCGCTGGGCAAGCTTTATCCGGAGTCGCTTCGGAGTGAAGGCCAACGGGCGCACGGCCTACCAGGATGCCTTTGACACTGCCTACACCGGGGACATCCTGCCCTTCGGCGAGACGGCCATGTTCAGAATGCCAGCCAGCCGGACGGGGGCAGTGCAAGGGCGAAAGCGTGTGCTTAAAGGCGACAGTTTGTGGAGGCCTGGGATCTTCCTGGGTCGGACCCTGCAGTCCTCGGAGTACTTGTTCGGTACCCCCGACGGTGTGTACACGGCAAGGTCCCTTCGGCGACTACCTGTTGGACGGGGGGCCGATAAGGAGCTCATGGCAACCTTCCTGGGCCTACCGTGCGACACCAAGACCACTTTGAAAGGGCCGCGGAAGCTTGCAGTTTCATCGGGCGGCCGGGAAGCAGTTGCAGCAGGGGAGCCAGCACAACATGATGAAAGCCGGGGTGCAGACCTGGCGGTTCCTCGAACTCCCGGGGACATTCCTGGCACACCGCCGGGACCCAAGATGCCACAGACTGACAGAGCAGAGACGCCACAGACCGACAGGGCAGAGACACCACAGACCGGCGGGGCATCGGCACCACAGGCCACAATTCGTTTGCCAACAGCCAAGAAGGGCGCCAAGAAGGACCGTGACGTGCTGGAGTTCAACCGGAGAGCCGCTGAGGATGCAAAGGTGGCAGCCGAGTCCACTTCAGAAGGTTCCGGGGTGAAGCGTGGTCCCACAGAGCAGGTCGAGGACTTGGAAGCAAGCGTCGGAGATGACAGCACCGGCGCAGGAGAGAAACGAGCAGCCGAGGACCCGGGCATGGAAGTCGATGACCAGGGTAAGCGTTTGTGCATTGGTGGTGTTGTGGCAGCCACTCTTTACACTCCAGCCGACCCCGACGAGATGGACACCTACGCCTTGGATGATGGGGACGGCTGGCGCTTGGACGATGACGAGGTGGAGCTCAACGAGGACACGACCGGCTTCACCGAACAAGAGGTCCTGGACGGCAAGCTGAAGGAGCTCAGCAAGATGGACAAGTACGACACATACGACCCCAGACCGGAGGAGGAAGCCCAGGGCAAGAAGATCCTCGACAGCACCTGGGTGGTCACTCGACGGCCGACGGGTGAGGTGAAGTGTCGTTACTGCTTGCGTGACCTTAAGCGGGGCAAGAAGCGTGATGATGTTTTCGCCGTTGCCTCCTCGCAGGCGACAGCCCGGGTGATCGACACGGTGGGGGTCAAGAAGGGCTATGTCTTCTTCACGGCGGACGCCGAGAACGCCTACTGGCAGGTGCCCATCAAGGAGGACGTGTACATGTACCCCCCAGCCGAGTGGCTGGAAAAGCGGAAGGCGGCCGGGCTTCCACACCAAGGCCTGGTCTGGAAGCTGAAGAAAGAATGGTACGGCCGGCAGATTGCCGGGCAAAGCTTTGTGGACTGGGCGGCCCAACAAGCCAAGACCGAGGACTTTGATCGTTGCCAGGCCGCACCTTGGTTCTTCTACAACGCGGCCCGAGACGCGAGCATGGAGGTCCACATGGACGACTTCTATGGGACGGCCCCAGAACGCGAGGCGGTGGAGTTCTTGGAAAGCCTCAGCAAGAAGATCGTGATGAAGTACAAGATTCACCGCCCCGGCGACACCTTTGAGCACCTGAAGCGTTTGCGCACAGTCCACGAGGATGGGATGATGGTCAAGCCAAACCCAAAGTACTTGGAGGGCATGCTGGAGACTTTGGGGCTAAAGGAAGCCAATGCGGCTCCCACTCCCGAAAGCACGGCCAAGGAAACCTTCAAGGCCGAGCCCCTCGATGAGCAGAAAACCTTCGAGTACAGGAGCTGCGTGGGAAAGGCACTTTACCTTTCTTTTGACCGACCCGATTGCCAACATGCAGTGCGTGAGCTGACCAAGTACATGAAGCAGCCGACCACCGAGGCCATGAACTCCCTGCGACGCCTTGCTAGGTACCTGAAGGGAACCAGAGACATGGGAGTATGGCTTCCCCGCGAGGGCGACCTCGAGTGCTTGGAGGCCATATCGGACACCGATTGGGCCAACTGCAAGAAAACACGGAAAAGCTGTGCCGGAGGTGTTTTCATGGTTGGTGGCTGCCTCGTTGGGAGCTACAGCAGGGGATTGGCAATGATATGCCTCTCTTCGGGCGAAGCCGAGTTCAACGGCGGCGTGATGGCCACGAGCGAGGGCATCTTCTACAAGGAGGTCTTCTCTTTCCTGAGGATCTTCCTTAAGTTGCGAGTGTGGCTGGACAGCAGCGCTGCACGGGGGATCTACCAGCGTGAAGGCGTGGGAAAAGTGAGGCACCTGGAAACTAAGTCGTTATGGGTGCAACAGGGCTTAAAAGAGCGGAAGTTTTCACTCCATGCCATCGCCACCGAGACCAACCCGAGCGACATCCACACCAAAGGGCTGGCGGTGGCGCGCTTCGAGATCCTCAGGTCTCTCCTCGGTGTGATCGAGGACGAGTTGACGGCCAAAGCAGCACGGGCCACACTCCTGGCCGGCATGCTTGTGGGAAGTGTGAGAAAGCGTCCGACAAAAGCGGTCGGAGGAGGAACGTTGGCAGCCATCCTGTTGGCAGCTGGCGTTGGAGGCGCCCAAGGACAGGCGCTGCAGCCAAGGGGGGCCGGAGCACTGAAGATGTATGCTGAGATCGCTGGGCCAAGCCTCTACGTGCTGGTGTTTGCCATGGCGTTCAGCTTCTTCCTAGGGGGGTTCCTCGTTTGGCTGTGTTGCCGTGGAGGCGGCAAGCAGAGGAAGCACACTTACGACGACGTGTACCCCGTGAACAACGTGGAGGGCCCCTACATCCTCCGGACCGGGACGCGAATGCACATGTTGTCCAGTTGCCCGCACGTACAGGGGCGACCCACTAGACATTTTCCGATTTGCGAGTACTGTCACAGGAATTCTGTGCAGCGGTACCAGAAGATTGATTGAGAAGGGCTTGGGCCTCTTCTAGCACCTCCAGCAAGAGTGCTGAGGGGGGTGTTGGCATTTTCGAACAGACGCAGATCTCATGCGACAGCCCTTTTGCGGATCAAAACAAGGGTGCCCCAGGAATGAACCGTGGTAGCTCAATCGCTCCATTTGTGTAAATGTGTATTCTTTTGTTTTGTATGGTTTTACAATTGGTACATCCGACATTATTATTAATACATAGAAAAATTATATCGTTATCAATGTATGAGCGATTATGACGACTATTTAGATGTTATAGACGAGATAAAAAAATCAAAACCCCAAGATACAGAATGTGTTGTTATAGTTTGTTAGATTTATTGAAGGCAGTTTGTTATTATTTTAAGAGTATTAAAAAATCTAAATAGTATAAATGAGTGATATAAGCGAAAACAGCAACGATAAAGGATTTCGTATTAATGCCCGTGGTATTTCTTGTATTCCGTGTAGATGCAAGAGGCAATTTTTTCATCAGGAGACTAAAACAACAAAGGAGAATAATGTAATAACAACAAATACAATGATTGATAAGAGAAATACTAAATTCGGTGCTGGTAGGCATACCTCACCCGATGACATTTTCAAAGCAGATACTATTAATTTACAAACAGGAAGCGTTGAAATATGCGATACAGGATGGGGTAAAAGTCAAATAGCACCAGAAGAGTTAGAAGAGCGTGTTGATAAAATTGAAACAGATATTGTTTTAACTAAAAAAGATATAGAAGATATAAATGAATATAAGTTCAAAACAGATTAAGGGTTTGTTTATATTACAATATGACAAAGGCAAGTGTGCCATTTTGGACGCTTCGGAAGAAGTCCTCGCGAGGCTCGCAGACTCGCGACGAAGGAGAAGAAAACACCCCTATGATAGCAACCCCAGTGTCTCACTTGAATGAACTCGTGAAAGGGAAGTAATGAGATACATTCAATAGCACCACATAAGATGGTGCTTAATTAGTTTGTTAAATCTTAAGTAATTGGCTGTATAATTTCTATTATAAAGCGAATTATATGATTATATATACTGACAAAATCATAGTGTCATTCTCTAATAATTATCATGGATTTAGTCATAATTTTTTGGAAGTTAGAGTTTGTCCGGTATGTAATGTATGTAAAAAAATGGAAAATTTCATAAGCTTGCAGAAACACAAAGAATACAATATCGTATGTAGGAGATGCTTAGATAGGCAGAACGATAATAGAAAAAAACAAAGTTTTAAACATTTTAAAAAATAATCTAAAACTTGTATATAGTATGAGCGATGTAGATGATGCTTCGGCAGATGCTTCGCGAGGCCCTCGCGACGTTGTAAAACCAATCAAGCACATCAGCAGTCAAAAGATTTTCGAAAAGTTAGAACTCGTTGGGAAAAAGATTAACGAATTATTAATTAAACTTAAACCGGTTAATAACCCAATGGATACAGATAGTGATGTGTATAAGAATAAGGGAAATGCTTATGTGAATAAGTTGAATAACAAGGATATTAAGTTTCCTAAGAAGGAGACATTATATAGAATATTATGAGATTAAATTTGATGACCAAGAGAGAGCGTATTAGATAATGTCAAACGAAAACCTCGCAGAACCAAGCGGAATGGCACAACTTTATGTGTGACAGTGAATGGATATTCACGAATAGCATTTTACTAATAATAATTAGTAAAGTTCTATAGGATAAGGGTTCTAATCTTTTGGGGATTTTCTATTAGGGTCTTACCCCACACGTCATATCAGGATATTGGTTATATTATGGTTGAGGGTAGGGTTTGTTTAGGTGCTTTGGGTTTTGGATTGTGTTATGGACTGTTGTATTTGTTGGTGGGTTGCTTTGTTTTGGGATTATTGGTTTTGTGTTGGGAGGTGCTTTGTGTATTGGTGTTTTGGAAGGTTGATTTTGGGAGGCGGGTTGAGAATTGAGGTAAAAGCGTAGGGGGGGTATATGGCATAAGATGTGGGGTTAGCCTATGCTTGCTTTATGGCCCCAGGGTTTATGGTGTACGGTTGGAGATTTTTGGCCTTTAATTCAACCTTAGTCTTTGGAACGCCCAGCTGCGAGATGCCAAAGACGCCTCGCATTCGGGAGGGGTTGTTCCTTGCGAGTATCCCCAAACGGACACCACTTTTTTGTCATTCACCAGTACTTTATTTTTAGGGGGCCATTTCCTTGTGCGGCAAAAGCAGGAAACCCAGATCTAAGCCCTAAACCCCGAAAGCTTTAAGCTAAAACCCTAGTTAACTTCTATCGGGACCAGGATGAGGAACCCCTAACGCACTCCAACAGTATTCTTTTGGGCGGGATATCCATACCTTATCGGAAGGGATTACCCAGAGAGCCCAATACCCCTTAATTAAGGAATATGGCTTAAATCATAATATGAAAGCCCTATATACTTTAAGCCATATTCCTTAATTAAGGGGTATTGGGCTCTCTGGGTATGGCATGTCCCAACCTCACGGCTTTCGTTTTGGCCCTTTCGTTGTCGGGGGATTCCCACACCCTAAACCCTGAGTCCTAATCCCCTCAACCCCATACCCCAAAACACTTAAACTCCTAAACCCTAAACCCCCAAACCCTGAACCCTAAACCCTTTTGGGGTTCCGACAGGAGGGAGCAGAGGATCGTCCTGCAGATGGCAAAGAGGAACTCACTGAGGAATGCGCGCAGAAGTTTGGGAAGCTTCGGTCTTGTTGTTTCATGGGGGTTCCAGGTTCCGTTATGGATTCCTAGAAGGGTTCGGGGTTGTAGACTTTTAAAGTGTTGCTTTGAGGATTAGTATACGGGTTCCGCAACAGTTTCTGGTCATTCAAGGACTCCCAATGCAAGGATTTGGGGTTAGTATAAGGGCCTGATGGGGCCTGAATAATTAGTTAGTAAATGTTAGTAACAAGGTTTAGAGTTTAGAGTTTAGGGTTTAGGGTTTAGGGGTTAGTAGATGTTAGTAACAAGGTGTGCTAGACTCGGTAGTTTTATTACAGCTGCGGCAAACCGAGTATTCAGACCCTTTGTTTGAAGTTTCGGGTTGGGATTGCCAAAAGGTTGCTAAACGAGTTACCACAAGGGTCGATTCGGATTTTAAGGATCTGCATCTCGCAGTTTGGGTTTCAGGATTTAGGGTTAGGGTTTAGGGTTTGGCTTGAGGGACTCCGGGTTTGGGGTGGATTTTTTTGCAGGGCATGTTCTGAAGCTGTGGGTTTAGGGCTTGATTCGTGTGGGGGAAATGTGTAACCAGGTGATTATCTTATGGTGTAGAATTGGGGAGTTTTAGTTTACATATGTGCAGTTGGGGTTAGAGCAGATGGGGTTAGAGCAGATCTGACACCAGTTTCTTCGCAGGATGCACCAGATCAGCTGGGAAACATGCAGGAGCACGCCGATGAGGCACTGTGCTGGACACGAGCTTTGCACCGAACGCTTGAGGTTCAGATTCAGTAGTAGCTACAAGTCACTTTGCGGCCATTAATTGCATATTACTGAATGGCCTCGCAATAGCCGGCTGATTTGTTCAAGAGCTCGCCCCAGGCAGCAGCAGAGCCTCCGCAAGCAGATCTTGCAGAAGAAGCATCCGAGGCACAAGCCTCTGCAAGCGGCTTCTGGAGACAAGAGATATAATAACATGTACGACAATATTTACATTAGATATAAACAAGATAGAAACTAATGGTATAAAAATAGTATAAAAAAAGAAGTACCAATGTACTTATAAATAGATCTGTAGATGTCAACATACAGACAGGTATAGGGTATAAGTGATGAATATTATAATACTAGTATCAATATCAAAAAATATATGACGTAAAGCTTTCAGCCTCGTGCACCAGAAGAACTTTCAAGCTCAGGAGGTCGGCGAAGATGGAGCTGCAGAGGCAATGGGGGGACGACCTCTGCACATCAGATGGTTCTTCGTGTAAGAGATCTGCGAAGGCAATGTAGTGCATGCCTTTGCAGGCAGCTCCACCACACTCAGACGCAAGCCTACATAAGCCCTACACCTTAAGCCCTTAAAGGACCCTAAACCGCAAACCCAGGCAGTTCGAAGTTCCGTGGTCGAGTGGCCAGGTAGCCGCCGAGAAGGAAGCCGCTGAATCCCCGGAGGCTCCAGACATTCCCGATGCCGAGGCCGATACATGCCGAGATCATGAGTCTTCAGGAAAAATACGTTCAGCATGTATACTTGTTGTCTTGGTGTACGTCTCGCAGCGTCTAGAACGCTGATATACCGCCCCAAACCCTATTCTAGTTCCCTTGTATTATATGAGTCTCTCTAGCCAGAGCTGGAAAGCCGATCCAATGAAGCTGATCGAGCACCAGCAGGAGGATGCCTCCGGTCCGGCAGAGCCGGAAGTCGCACCGGCAGCGGAGCCGGCGGAGTCGACAGAGGTGTTGCCGGAGGCACGGTCCTGATGTCAATATTTGTAGACTGGTAACGGAAGATGCCTCAGCTGCATACCGAAGCAGCATGCATGATGGCAGATCGTCGTCCTCGTCCAAGGTGATAACAGAGACTAGCACGATGGCCATACATCAGCAGAACCCGTACGTAAAGACACATCCAACTGAGTGTACGTGTGAACGAATCTGTGCGCGCTTGCGTCCCCGTATGGAGCAGCACAAGCTTGGCAAGTTATGTGCGCTGCTGTGCCCAGTGTTCTGTCAGCCGTATAAGCCCCATTTTCCCCCAACCACAACCCTGAGTTCAGGATTCGGTTGCTTCAGATACCGCACCCAACGAGCCGTTGAGGGCCGAGGCGGGCGTGGGCGATGTCAGGGCTTAGGGTCTAGGAGGGTTGCCTTAACCCTCAGCAGTTGGGCTGCTTTGTTAACTATTAAGGAGCTTTGACATCTCCGGCTTCCGTCTCAGAGTCTGAGGGCTTAGGGGGTCGGGAAATTGTTACACACGTATACTGTATAATGTACCACCATCACTGGTGGATTCCTTTCTAATCTTGAACCTCAGATGCCCGAACACGGCACATCTCGGGGTGGATGTACTGCGAGGGTGCATGCTTCCCCAATGGCTTACCTGCCCCTCCCCTGATAATAAAACCTAGCCCCACAGTAGATAAGCGTTCCAAACAGACTATGGCTTACTACTGTGGGAATATGTATGTTCAATGGTTGGGGAGGTTCATTGTTCGGGGACATCTTTTGCCGGTTCAGCTCCCATCTGCTGCGGAGCAGCATACCAGGAGACACTCTCATATTGTGAGGGCAATGGCCTCTCAGAATCATACAGGGGCCAGACTTGCGAGCACTAATCTCCGATACTTGAAAAGAAGCAATGAGCCCTTGGATCTTGATGAACATTCCTAAAGCCACTCTTGCTCGGAGTGGGGTTGGAGCTGTGGTGCCTGACATAGCTCTGAAAGAAAAGCACAGGAACTAAGTCTTTGCAGAGTTTTCCGACCTCCTCCACGGTCGCAATGGACGAGGAGCTCCCTGCAGAATGCTGCGCAGATGCGCAGTCGGGGCCCTCCGTGGTGTCGAAGCTGAGGCAGGAACCTGCAGAGACGGTCCTCGACGTATTGCACCCGAGATCTTGGGCTTCAGAACATGTTCATCTGTTCTTTGAGCAGAAGTTGGGGACACCTACTGCATCTTTTGATGTGATGATCCACATGGCTATCGAAGAGCTGGAGGAGTTGCAGGGCGTCGCGGACAAGATCAGCAAGGGGAGTGAGAGCAAAGAAGCGCAACAAGCAGCTCTGGAATGGTCCGTTCGAATTGCCAATGTTATTGCATGAACGCTGTCTCAACTTGAAGTCCGAACTTCGTGAGGTCCCGCCCTTCTGGGCGATTGCCCCAAAGATTGCTTGAACATGGAGTTGTCAGATGTAATTAAGAGCTTTTCTGCTGGGGCCTATGCAATTTCTAGTCCTATTCCTGGGGGGTCCAAAATAAAGCCATATTACATCAACCCGAAACCCTAAGTTTAGCTACTTCTGCTGCAGAAGTGGGCATTTCGGGTTGGAACCGACGGTCGCCTTCCTCGCCCGAATTCGTGCATGAAGCTTGGTGAGTTTTAAGGCTCGAGGCCTCTGGCCCTTAGCATTAGATCGGAGTGATTTGTGAACTTGTAAGACCGAGTGGACGGCCTTTTTTGAGAAGTTTCTGCTGGCAAGCCGACAAATTCAATCCAAGGCAACAGTGAGAAATCCATCCACACTGCACATTTGTCAAGTGTGAAGAAAATGGCATGCAGCCGGCATTGATGAAGGTAATTCCGCGAGATGCTGATGTAACTTGGCCTTTGCAAGGATCCCTAAACCCCTAAACTGTTGATTGGGGCCGTCAGTAGCCATACGAGCCCTGAACGAGATTGCGATCATGGTGATTGGAGATCCCGCTGGAGTAATGCCGAGATCTTTAAGGCTCATTGAGCATCCTACCTAAACTACATAATGTAGGGGCCTTCATAATTATACTAGGTTTCTAGGGGATAGTATACTTTAAGCATAATAAGGAACCCCCAAAAGGATGGTGTCTAATTAGTAAAGCCCCTATATTACGGCTGTCCATGAAGGCCGGGTGTACAATTTGGCCCGAGGCTCATGTGGGTGTTTGAGCAAGACTGATGATTGCTGATTCAGTTTCGCTCCCCTCAGACTCAAACACTCCCTGCGTGTACAAATCTTTGAACATGAAATAGTATTCTCTATAGGGGTTACAGGTGTGAATAGCTGGGTTTATTTCGCCAGGGCGGAAGAAGTTGTGGGTTGAATGCCCAGTCTCGCCTAGAGACTTGTGTGCAGGAAGCAGCGGAGTCTGCAGATGCTGATCCAGAGGAGGTGCATGAGTGTTGTATATCGGACTCTCGGCGCAGCCAGTAAGTTTGAGACTTGAGAGTCGAAGCCTTGAGGACTCGCAGCCTGAAAGTCCTGCCGAAGCAGAGCCTTCAAGCGAACCTGCCGAGCCATCTGCAGATCCCGACAAGGTTCGGGGCAGTCGCTTCAATGGTCAGTTGGGACTTGTTGCGTTGTTTCTTTGTGTTGGCGCAAGGAGCACGAGCTTGCACCCGAGAAGGCCAGTCGGCGCGACGATGCTTCACTTGGTTTCCCTTGGTCCCTAAACCTAAAACCTAGACCCCTAGACCCTGTTGAGCCTTGGGAGGAGCAAGCCAAAGAGACGCCAGCAGAACCCGCGGGCACCACGGCAGCGGACAATGATGAAGCTGTTGAGGCAGCTTTCTTCTGACTTGCGGTGCAAGGTCAGACCAGCGTGCTATGTAACTAGACTGTAGACTTAGAAGTCCATGTGCCCCTGAAGCTGTCTTACAGCTTCTCTGTCGAAGGAGCCAGGTGTTGCTGCTGAAGACAGATGACCCGGAGGCGCGCCGACGTTGTAGAGGACACGCACAAGAAAATCTGTGCATTAAGCCAACCCTGGCAGACACTTACCAGGAACGGCCATACCACCGTAAGCTTACCCCAACGTTCCAAAGGACCCAATAATCAGGTACTCGGTTTTAGGATAGTAGTTATGTAGGTTAGGATTTCGGAGAGAAAATGAGTATTGGGTACTTGGACCCTTGGGGTTACGGGAGTCATAGCTCAGTCAGGGCTCCAAGACTTCGACATCTGGAAAACCGCGAAGAAGGGGCTTATCAGGGGAGCCCTGAAAGCATAAAGACTAGCAATGGTTTCTTACATGTCTGAAATCCGCGCATCGGTCGTGGTAATCATAGCTCAGTTCTAGCAGCACAAGTAGTAGCAGCAGTAGCAGCAGCAGCAGTAGCGGTAGGTAGTAGCAGTTGTGAGCGGGTTCGTCATTTTACCACTACGATGAGAGAACATGTGCTGATCATGAATCACGAGTGTGCTCGGGCTCTTCTGAACGCCAAGGACCGCTCGAAATCTTCATGAAAAGAGGGGAAATCCTCATAATGTGAAACTTGGCCGTCATCCACAAGTGCTACTGTTATTGCATACGGCATGGTCGTTCTGCACCTGGCGCATGAAGGTCGCAAGCCGGCGAAGCAGGGTGTCATCAATCTGCCTCGAGTGCCGCCGATCGCTTAAGCTAAAAAGGTGCCTCTGAGATCATGGATGGACCACGTCCAGTCGCTAGCCCTGCAGAGAAGCACAGTTGACTGTAGAGGCCTGGCTTACGCCTTAAATCCTGCATGAACGTTAGTGGAAGGCTTGTTCAAATTGTCTTGTCCGAAACAGGATGTACACCACACAGTTCAGAGGTTCGACGCGGTAGGCTGTGATCCTCAGAGATCCTCTTCTTTGCTCGAAACATGATCTTGCCAACCTTTGCCAAGACGTCCTGGCATCTTGAAGCCGACCTTCTCACATTCAGACAGGGGGGCCGCCTTTTTCAACATGCCCCGAACCCCGAAGCCCAAGCAAGTCCACTGAATCCCCAGCCCTAGCTGCAGTCTTCATCCCAAGCGAAAGACTCATCGTAATTCACAGCCTTCCAATTTCGACTTTTCTGCGCTCTAGACGGCACACCTTGTGCCTTTTTGCTTGTATCGGATGACTCACTGCTTCTGGGCCAGCGGCTGCCATCCCGGGGTCGATGTCTCAGTGATCTGCGCTGAGTGTTGCTGATCTGCAGAAAAACAAAGAGAGCATGCATAGCATAGCCTTGCTTCTGAAAGCCCTTGCAATTAGAATAGGCTTTGGGGGTATATCATGCTATAATTACAACTAGGATGCCCAGTAGTACCCTTATTCCCTTTTTGTAGTCCTAGGTTCCTTATAAAGCTACCCAATACCAGAAAGAGAGGCCTTTTGATTCTTAGGTTACTGGGTATCCTAGACAATGAGGAACCCTAAGGAGTAATATTGGTGAGGTCAAGCCGGTGGGAGACCTGACGGGCACTTGGAGGGTCGGGGGACTTAGTAAGTAGACTTATAAGTACCCTAAAAGGGACCTTAATTGGGGTTATGGTACTTATAAGTCCCGAAAATCACCAGTTACTAAGTCCCCCGACCCTCCAAGCACGGAGATGAGGCGCTGCACCCGGGTAGTGGACACTGAGCTCCGTCGATGCGAGGGAAAAAAGGGTGCAAAGTTCCCACTTGACCAAAGTGTCTGAGAGCTCCGACGTACTCATGCTCCCCCTCGACCTCGAAACTTGGCCTCTTGCTTTTTGCAGCTTTTCTCCGGCTCAGAAAGAGAGTGATTAGACTGCCATATGATTGCCATATGATGCAGTGGCAGCAATGGCCCCAACAGGGGCAGCAACAACAGTGGGGGCAGCCGCAGTGGGGGGTGCAGCAGTGGGGAGGGGGAGTTCAGCAGGCCCAGTGGGGTGGCGGAGGAGGACAACCCCAATGGGGACCGCAGCAACAACAGGGCGGCCAGCAGCAGCAGTGGCCACAGCAGTTCGGAGGATCCCAAGCCCAAGCCAACAATGATGGCTACATCGTCTGTTGTGTACCCGTCATGAATGGGATGCAGCAGAACATGCAAGGAATGCAAATGCAGGGTGGGCAGATGATGATGGGCATGGGACAGCAGATGCAAGGAATGCCTGCACAGGGCGGGCAGATGATGATGGGAATGGGTATGGGCGGTGTCATGACACCGGTCATGAACCAAGGATTTCAAGGTCAGTTCAATGGCGACTTCAAGGGCAACTACAAAGGCGGAAAGGGCGGTGGAAAATTCAACCGAACCGGCCTTAGCCCAGATGAAGATGCGAATTGGCGCTCAAGACCCTCTCCGGGAGCCCCCGTCGGAAAGGGCCCTGCAGATTCAGCGATGTATTTGTCGCGCTCGGCCGTCACCTCCTCGATGAAAAGACCTAAAGAGGCGGGGTCGTGCATCATAACAGCAGCATCAGCAAGGTAATTAATAAGTCGCGGTACGGACGGGAATGCTATGGAGGCTAATTAAAACTTCTCCACTCAAAACTCAGATGTCTTGTGTCAAATCAGGGTATGCTTTCAAAACCCTGATCCAGAAATTCCGAAACCCTGAACCCAACACGCCGCAGGGAGCGGGGCCTTTCAAAGCAGATCTTGCAGTACCTTCACCTGAAGCTTCTGAGGCGCCAGCTTCTTTCTAAGGTCATTAACCCTACAGGGTTTAGGGTTTAATTAGGGTTTAGGGTTTTGGTTTCAGGTTTAGGGTTAAGGGTTAATTATAGGTGCTGAAGGATAGGTAACCGGGGGTTCTTGCAGCTAGGGGCCTGCCAAAGTCATCGACCATACGTGCTGAAGGATGCAGTGCTATATGGGTGGTTGTCAAAACTAGGGTCCCTTCTGGCGTCCTTATTATAGTACGGCACCTAATATTTTGGGTACCCAAACAGGGACCATGATTTTGACAACCGCCCATATAGTCTTCATGATACGCTTCCTATCATTAGCTTGGGGCCACAAGCTTCATATCTTGGGTCCCTCGTCGTCTGAAATTCCCATCCCGAAAGCATTAGCCATATCATAATCCCTACAGCCTTAACCCTAAGCCCTAATCGCTAAACCCTAACCCCTAAGCCTCCTAAACCCTAATCCCCAAAGCCTTAATTATAACCCCTAAAACCGACCCTAATCCCTAAGCCGCGTAAACCCTAAACCCCAACCCCTCAAGCCTAAGAAACTGAAAGTTCCGTGGCACAGGAGCTCCAGGAAGAAGGACCTGCTGAGGCCAGGGACGCCTTCGCATGTTAGAACATGCGGTTCATAAAGGGTTGACAGGTCTAGGGGTTAGGATTTGTATAATCTGTATATGGTTTAGGGTTTAGGGCTTAAGGTAGGGTATAGGAGTTTAGAATTTTGGGGTTTGGGGATTTGGAGTTCAGGGTTAGGAGTTTAGGGTTTAGGAGTCTATGGATGAGGGTTTAGATGAGTGCTACTATTTGCAACCGTACTCGTACCAGCAGTAGTGGTACCGACGTTATGTCTTATGACGGTCATCCGTGTTGGTCTCCTACTAGCAGACGGTGATGTTGAGACATGTGTGTTGGCAGGCAGTGCCGCCAGCTTCAACCGAGGCCAGCGATTCACCCTTGAACCCTAGACCCTAAACTAAACCCTAAAAGCCTGTAGCCACAAAGCCTTTGAAGCCTTTAGCCATCTTAGGCTCTAAACCCCCAGCCCTAAGCCCCAAACACTACAGTAGCCGCCGGAAAGTTGGAAGGCGGCAATTGGAACGGTTGATGCTGCAACGGCATCTTCCAACTTTGGGTTTGACTTGGTCCCATCTTCCAACTTTAGGTCCCGGCGTTTGGACCGGTTGATGCGGTAACGGTATCTTCCAACTTTCGGTTTTTGGGAAGCAGCTCCAGTAATGCAAAGAGAGAAACCACAACCGCTTCGACCGCTCCAGTAGTGCTGAGAGAGGGAAACTGCAATTACTACGACCACTCCAATATTGCAGAAAGAAAGAAAAACTGCAAGTACTACGACCGCTCCAGTATTGCAGAAAGAAAGAACCTGCAATTACTACGACCGCTCCAGTATTGCAGAGAGAGAGAGAGAGAAACTGCAAGTATTACGACCACTGCAGTATTGCAAAGAGAGAAAAGCTGTAAATACTACGAGCGCTCCAGTATTGCACAGAGAGAAAAATTGCAAATACCACGACCACTCCAATATTGCCGAGAGAGAGAACTGCAATTCCTAGGACCGCTCAAGTGTTGCACAATTACTACGACCGCTCCAATATTGCAGAAAAAGAGAAGCTGCAAACACCATGGCCGCTCCAGTATTGCAGAGGGAGACAAACTTCAACTACTGCAGTATTGTAGAGAGAGAGAGACGGAGAAACTGCAATTCAATGTTGGGTTTGCTTGGTCCCATCTTCCAACTTTAGGTCGCGGCATTTGGAGCGGTTGCAAACTTGGAAGAATCCAAAGTTGGAAGATGTGTTTTATTCCAATTGTGGGGTGCTGAAATTTTGGGTGCGCATCTTCCAACTTTGCGGCTGCCACCATAAAGCCTTATAAGCCTCTCTAGGCCCTAAACACTGAGCCCTATCAGGGGCTCCGTGATCTCCCGGCCAGGTCACCACACAACAGGAGAATGAGGCTCCTGAAACCGAGGAGGCTGCTGAGGCAGAGGCCGGGGTGTGTAGGGCTTCGAAAGAAGGGTAGGGTTTAGGGTTTAGGGTTTAGGGGTTTGGGTCCCTTAGAAGGGCACCATAGGATGCTATGATACTGCAAAAGGGTCCCTTAAAAATACAGGGTTCCCCGTGTTCTGGTATGGCGTGAATTCACGATCTTCATAAGAACTGTCCTCACCGAGAACAGCTCTATAGCTATGATATGATACAAATCCTGCGTGTCTATGTCCCCAAAGATGTGACCACAGCGTGTGTGTACATATGCATACGTACACAGCATAGTCACATCTGGGCATTTGTAGTCGTGCATGTGTGTATGCGTGTGCACATGTGTGCGTGTGTGTTTATTTTTGTTTCTCACTCTCTCTCTCTCTCTCTCTGTGCATGTCTTGTTGTTCAGATATGCACACCTCTACAGTGGGCAGATTAGCTCCTTCCAAGTCAATGCCTGAGGTAACGTATTTTTACATCTGTGTAACTTTCCGCTATAAAGTGGGGGTGTGGAGCATGACTCCTACGGCACCTGAAATTTTCAATCCCGAGCTATGGGGCTTACAAACTTATACCAGGAACAAAAAGCATACCATTAACGCACCTACAGCATCGCAAACGAAAAGAGGGCTCTTTTCAAGCCCTTAAACGTCCCTCAATGTTTCAAGGAGCCTTTTCAAGCCTTTAAAATTTTAAAAGATCCCTAATGCTGCAAGGAGCCCTTTCAAGCCCTTAAAGATCCCTAATGTTGCAAGGAGGACCCTAAAGTACTCGCAGGAAGAATCCAACGAGCCGAGCGAGCAAGCAGAGGCCGAAGAAGCAGAGGCCGAAGAAGCAGAGGCCGATGCCTCCAGCAACTGGGTCCAATTTTGGAGGAACTTAATAATTACCTACATTATTTTGGCGGCTCCTATTATTATAACTATGCTATAATATACTCCTCAGCTTACTCTATGCTTCCAAACCCCTTACATAATAGTTAGGGCCCTAGACCCTTAAGGACCCAATAACAGGGTTCCTGGGTCAATATAGCGGCCTTAATAATTGCCAATACTATTTTGGGATTTCCTTGTTAGAAGTTTTGCCTAAAGGGCCCCAAAACCCTATTCTAATTATCAAGGCCCCTACATCACAGTACCCTTGTAGATCCCTTATGGTGACCCATTCTAATTATTCAGGCCCCTACATCATAGTACCCTTGTAGATCCCTTATAGTAATCCCTTAAAAGACCCCTTTAAAGGAGACCTTATTCTAATTATTAAGGCCCCGACATTATACTTCAGGCCCCTTCTCATAGGCTCCATAGTAGTTTCATTTTGGGATTGCCTTATAGGGTTCTGTATATGAACCCCAAAAAGGAACTACTATGGAGCCTATGGCTACATTATACCAGCCAAGAAGAGCCTAGGTGAGGAGGCTGCGGAGTCGGAAGCGGAAGAAGCGCCCGCCCCCGCGGCAGCGGAATCGGCGGAGGTTAGGGTTTCAGGGGCTGCCCTAAACCCTAAACCCTAAACTGTTGCAAGCTGCAGACATAATTATAGATGTCTGTCTGGAAGACAGAGTTAGTGTAATGACTGTGTTGGTGTACAGAGCAAGAGCGTAGCTGTGTTTCGGATGTGCTCATGAATACATATAGTAGAAGTTTTGCCTTCATGCATGCATGAATACACACATGTAGTTGACAACACCCAGCAGTGATGAATGTTTTGTCAATGCTCCACTTTCAGATTTGTGCATGCAAGCACGCATGCACAGATACATAATTACACACAGACGTGCGCACGGGCACTCTTATATTCAGTACATGTACGGCCAACGAGTACAGACAGGCACCTTTGATGCTTCAGTGCTGCAGTCATAGAATGAGGGCGACAGAAGCAGAGATGTGAAGAACATGCACAACACCATCATAGATTTATTGAGCATCTCTATGCCGCAGCCATCAGTGTCATCGGCATCGTCGTCGTCGTCGTCACCGTGATCGTCACCGTCATCATCACCATCATCGCCACCACCAGCATCACCATCACCAACAACACCTACCACCACCACCGCCACCGAAAACCACCACCGCCAGCAGCATCATCAGCATCATCATTGCGAGCATAATTCGTAGGTGTCATACAAGACGCCATGAGCAAATTCCTCTTTGCATGTATTTTTTGTGTTCACGCATGCATGCATGCATGCATGCATGCATGCATTCGGCAAGTGTAGGGCGTGATATCTTTTTTCGTCGTGTGCACGTGCTTGTCACTCCTTCCTGCATTTGTTGCCGCGATCAGTCCTTAAGTACAGGGCGCACTGAACCATTACCATCTTGGTAGTTGCTACTAATTATACATAGTTATAGTAAAGTTTGCCCCAAGACCCCAGTCTGCTTCTTAAGGCCCCTAACCCTAAACCCTATAAACCCTAAACCCTAAACCCTACATCCTACATCCTACACCCTAAACCCCAAACCCTAAACCCTATAAACCCTAAACCCTAGCCTTGGGGCCGCAGGAGTCGGAACCCTCCGAGCCTGTGCATGACGAGCCAGCCAGGGCCGAGGCGGGATGTCTCCTTGGGTTCCCGATGCCCTTACTTAAAGGGAACTCCAGAAAGTTGGAATATGGTTTCATGGTAGGATACCCTATAATTTACCATAGAAGGGTCAGGATAATCATATTCCAACTTTCTGGCGTTTACTATAAGCCGAAAGAAACCTCAAGCCCTAAACCCTACATAACCCGAAACCCGAAGCCCAAAACCGTAACCCTAAACCCCCCCAAAAAACCCTAAACCCTACACCTCTAAGCTACTGATGTTTCAGTGTTTGGGTGGACCGTCTGTCTGGTTGTTCTCGGGCGAGTCGTCGACGAGCGTGGGAGGCTTGCGGAGGAGTTTTGAATTCTCGAAGCTGTACTTGAAAAAGTAATAGTATAGGTGTCACAATATACGCAAGTATGTTTGTATTATATTATAGTTTATTCAGGCTCATGTTTGGAGCTTTGTTCGGTTGTACTGGG